CAGGATGACCGAGCCAGGGTGGATGGGTCAGCGCTCTGCCCGCTGACCTTGAGAAAGCCAGAGGTGCCATAGCCCCAAACCAGGGATGGCTGTCTTTCCTACCTTCTGAGCTTGGTATAAAGCTAAAACATGAGCTTATAAATCACAAGAAGGGGGCTTCCCTGGTGGCGCAGTGGTTGAGAGTCCGCCTGCCGATGCAGGGGACACGGGTTCGTGCCCTGATCTGGGAGGATCCCACATGCCGTGTTGTGGCTGGGCCCGTGAGCCATGGCCACTGAGCCTGCGCGTCCGGAGCCTGCGCTCCGCAAAAGGAGAGGCCACAACAGTGAGAGGCCTGCGTGCCGCTAAAAATAAAACAACACACACACACACAAGAAGGGCTTCAGTGAGTCCATCCTGTGGCCTGGGCACTCTGCAGGTAGAGAAGGAGCGTGTTTAAAGGGAGGGAGACAGAGCTGGCCCCCATCACAGGTCTAGATGTAACCAAGGCACCCCAACTTAATGACTAGTGTCAGTCAACAATATCTCCAGGCCATTCACATGCTGTTTTATACTTTCACCTTGTATTACTTCTTGGAGGTAATTATTTCCATGTGGTTATTTCCTTAAATAAGGACTTCCTTTGCTTTGTCCCAAACTAAACTCTTTACAATTTCTTGCGTGTGTTTCAGATTGAGGGCCTCTTTCTGGCACCGTGGGATTGATGAACAAGTCCTCCTACTAATGATCTTGTGGAATTCAATCCTAAGCCCCTAAGCCTTGCCTTTGCTCACTGAAAGACCCTAACCATTGAGCCACTCTCAGAGCAGCCATTTTCTTTGCTATTTACTGATCGGCCCCCTCCTATATCATCTGGGTGCTGCGGTTTTGTCTAAGGATTGACTCAGGCCTCCCATTTAAAGTAAAAATGTAGGGCTTCCCTGGTGGCGCAGTGGTTGGGGGTCCACCTGCCGATGCAGGGGGTGCGGGTTCGTGCCCCGGTCCGGGAGGATCCCACGTGCCGCAGAGCGGCTGGGCCCGTGAGCCGTGGCCGCTGGGCCTGCGCGTCCGGAGCCTGTGCTCCGCAGCGGGAGGGGCCACTGCGGTGAGAGGCCCGCGTACCGCAAAAATAAATAAAGTAAAAATGTGTTTGGCACATGCAAATGTTATCATTAAATACACCAGCAGGGATCTCAGGGCTACCATCAGACCTTCCAAGGCAAATGCCAAGGCGGAAACATTCTGCCACCTTTTCCCACATCCGGGGGCAGTGACACCCACCTTGGGGTGGAGGGAGGAAAGAGGGGCAGCGTGGTGCCCTCTCTAAGTTTAGCTCCTAGGGCTCTCCTGGCAGGGCAGGCGGAATCACAGCTGACTTTAATAAGGAAGCTGATACACTCTGGCCCCCTGGGGAGTCAGACAGGCTCAAAGTTAGAGCTGGGAGGCAGAAAGTGGGCCGAGGTCAGCAGGACAAGACCCCTCCTGGGGTGCAGGCCCTGGGGGCTGTGGGGCGGTGTTGGGGGGGGGGGGCAAGGCTGAGCCAGGAAGGCCCCTGGGCCCAGAGACAGAGGAAAGATTTCAGCTCCCTCTCGCTAGGCAACCTGCCTCCTTCCGGCCCACACCCAGGGGCTTTGCCGGGATAGAAACATGCCCCTGAGACAACACTGGATGCTCAACAAAACCAGCTTTGCAAACAAGTCCAAGCAGAGTGCCCATCCCTCCTTTTGCAGGCCATGGAACGGGTGCGTTGGTGCAGCCAGCCTGTGGCTTATGCAGAGAGCCCTACACCCACAGCAACAGGGCAAAGTAGGAGGATCTGTACCTGGGGTCTACCCAGCATGCTGGTCCCACCAGCCATGGCAGGCATTAGGGCTTGGGAGACCCCACAGGCCTGCTTCTCCAGAAGAAGAAAAAATCCCCGGTTCCAGATTCAAACCCGGGGTCTCTCTCCATTTCCCCCCTTTCCCGTCCTCTTCTCCATGAAGTCCTTACTTACCCTTTCCTTTCCCTTCCTCTGAGTGGGACTCAGCACCCTCTCCTTAATCGCCTTCTCATTAAACAAGCCCTT